TGTCATAAAAATAATACACTGGATACTCCTTATTTTTTATAGCACTTTCTACTATCTAACTTAGTATACATTTTCCATGAGTTTGTTGGAATGAGGTCAAGGGTTTTTGTTTTGTTCATGGCTTTGTCTTCAGAACTCAGAACAATGGTCAGCTTACTCAGCAAATAAAAAATAAACCTGGGGTCATCAAGTTGATTCCAATTCAAGGAAACTCCATGTGTTCCACAGTAGAACTCTGTAGGGTTTTGTTTGTTTGTTTGTTTTGCTATAATCCTAAGGAAACAGATCAACAGGCCTTTATTTTGTGATACTCCTCACAAGTTCGTAGCACTAACCTTTAAGTTAAGAGCTGACAGCAAACTGTGCTAGGGAATCTTGGTCCACATCTAAGCAAAATTAACTAACAAAACCCCCCCTGATATCAAATGGATTCCAACTCGAATAAAATTGCCTCACAGGGTTTCCAAGAAGTAGACTGCCTCATTTTTTTTCCCTGCAAAGTGTCTGGAAATTTTAAACCATCAGCCATTTGGTTAGCTGCCAAGTGTTGAACCGTTGTGTTATCCCAAACCCCTTTGCCCACAGAGTAGATCTTAATGCATGTTTATTGAATGAATTCATGAACCATATAACCAAATTTTCACGTGGAAAAATGCTTTCAGAGTATTGATTTAAGATGCCAGCAACTCTTCTTCCATTCTTAGTAGCTAGCAACAGCAGCAGAGGCAGCCCCCTGGATTCTTTCACTTTTTTTTTATAGTTTTAATATTTTCTGCTTTCTTTCTTTTTAAAAAATCATTTTAAATCATCTTATTATGGGCTCATACAACTCCTCACAATCCGTACATACATCAATTGTGTCCAGCACATTCGTACATATGTTGCCATCATCATTCTCAAAACACCTGCTTTCTACTTGAGCCCTTGACATCAGCTCCTCATTTTTTCCCCTCCCTCCCCAATCCCCCCTCCTTCCTGAACCCTTGTTAACTTATAAATTATTATTATTTTGTCATATCTCACACCATCCGACGTCTCCTTCCGCTGTCCGTGCCCCAGGAAGGAGGTTATATGTAGACATCGTAACCTGTTCCCCCTTTCTTCCTCACCTTCCCTCCACCCTCCCGATATTGCCACTCTCTCCACTGGTCCTGAGAGGTTCATCTGTCCCGATTCCCTGTATTTCCAGTTCCTATCTGTACCAGTGAACATCCTCCAGTCCATCCGATATGTAAGGTAGAATTGGGATCATGATATCATGATAGCAGGGAGGGGGGGGGAGCATTCAAGAACTAGAGGGAAATTGTAGATTTCATCGTTGCTACACTGCACCCTGACTGGCTCGTCTCCTTCCCGCAGTCCTTCTGCAAGGGGATGTCCAATTTCCCACAGATGGGCCCTGGGTCCCCACTCCGCACTCCCCCTCATTCACATTGTTATGATTTTTTTTGGGGGGGGTCTTTGATGCCTGATACCTGATCCCTTCAATCCCTTGTGATCTCACAGGCTGGTGTGCTTCTTCCATGTGGACTTTGTTGTTTCTCAGTTAGATGGCCCCTTGTTTATCTTCCAGCCTATATGGCCCCAGATTCTATATATTTTGACAACGAGGCACCTTCAGCTTTCTTCGCCGCATTTGTCTACGCACCCGCTTTGTCTTCAGCATTCGTGGCGGGGTAGGCTGGTGTGCTTCTTCCATGTGGGCTTTCTTGTTTCTTAGCTAGATGGCCGCCTGCTTATCTTCAAGCCTTTAAGACCCCAGATGCTATATCATTTGATAGCCGGACACTAACAGCTTTCTTCACCACTTTTGCTTATGCACCCACTTTGTCCTCAGCGATCGAGTCAGGACAGGCTGGTGTGCTTCTTCCATGTGGGTTTTGTTGTCTCTGCGCTAAGTGGCTGCTTATTTATCTTCAGGTCTTTAAGACTTCAGGTTTTTCTGATAGTAGCCATGGCTCTGTCATCATAGAAACCAGGCTCTGCTCAAGACGATTGTTATGCTAAGAAAGGGTGAAGGTAAGGAAGGTTTAAGTCACTAAACCAAACCAAATGCATTGCTCTCAAGAAGATTCCAACTCACGAAATCTTACGTAGGGTTTCTGTAGCTAAATCTTCTTTATGGAAGCAGGCACCCTTAGCTTTCTCCCAAAGAATGGCTGGTGTGTTTGGACTGCAATGTTTGTTAAGTTCAGGAGGTTGTGTTTTAAGGGGCAGCTGATTTGAACCCAACTACACACATCATCCCAGACTATGGGAGAAAACCTGGAGGACAGATCAAAAGGTATAATTTTCCTCTTCTTGTACTTTTCCTGTCGCGGAGGAGAGAAAATCCAAAGTGTCAGCAGCAGAGAGCAATAGGAGTACGTGGATCCCAGGCACCATTTCAAATAAATCTATAAACTGAAGACATCTTAAACTAGGGCACCACTCTAGTGTAACTGGCCGAGACTTACAGATTTAGAGATAGTCCGTTAAACTTCTCTAAGATAATTGAGAGCATGGGAAGAGTCCTAATTAGTGAAAACATAAAGTCCAAATTGTAAACATATTTAAAGCACTGGGATTCCATTCAAAATAAGAGTACATGTTGTTGAGGTGCCGTGTAGAGACTTCAATCGAGATTTCCACCTCTTCAGGAAAAGAAGAACAAAATTCCCTTCAGTTTTCATTTCGTTTCTGTCAGAGCGTCTCAATCTCAACTAGAACTTCTTCTGAGTTTGCATAGCGTGCTGTGCTATGTAGAACTTAAACTAGCTCAGTAAAAACAATAAAGATTCTACAGACATGTTATATTCTCCTAATTGATTGTGAGAAAATATGAAAACACATACTAATTTGGAAAGTCAATTTAAAATATTACCTGAAATTACAACTCGCTGTTTTCTGGAAACAAGGAAAATCAAATTTTCTTCATCTATTTGGGATGCCAGAGCATCTTCTTCTGAGCAGAAATAGCCAAAGATCTAAAACCCAAATATGAAAAACATATAGATATGTACAATATCTCATAATTGTCTGTAGCGTAACACATGATGTCAGCTGAATTAAAAATCTAATTTGAATTGCATTGTCTAGAGGAAGCAGTTTAATATACTCTACAAAATGTGGGCTGAAAAAGTATTACTATTGAGCCCATTATTTTATTATTCAAATAAAAATATTTAGAAAATTGTGATTTCATTTGAAACAAGAGCAGGTGTTGTTAAGAGCTTTAAATGGAGATTTTAACCTGTTCCAGAAAATGTGAAAAAAAAATTGTTCCCTTCAGTTTCTCTTTAGTTCCTTCCAGAGCAATGATAGCATTTCACTCTCAACATAACAAAACCTGTCTCCATGAGTTGATTGTAACTCATGATAATCTCATGTATGTAAAGTAGAACAGCTCTACAGGGTTTTCCAGACTTTAGAAAATATTAGCAAATCTGTCTTCTGAGACACCTTTAAGTCAGTAGTTGAGTACTTAACACTTTTTGTCATCCAGCAAATCCTTCATAATTGAGCAAGCACTGATTTTTTCTTTTCTTATAATAGATGAATCCATGAACCCGATGGTGTACTTGATTAGATGACTTAATCTATTACGCTTACTTGGAAACCAAATCAGTCTGTGTAAGATAATTATGGAGACCAGCTCATATCTTACATCACAAACAGAGTTTGAAAGGGGATGCAATTAAGAAAATGCAAAAGAAAACAGGATATCATTGAATTGCAGGGGTCTCTGAAGCGTACACATCCAGAGCCAAGAGCTTTATTAAAGGTGAGCTTATATACTCCTTGGATCATGTAGTCAGCATGCTCATGCCAGGATTTACACAAAGGAAGTTTATAATTCTTATAAGAAATACAAAGCAATCTTAGCTCATTAGCCCAGATTGTTCAAAGACAGAAGGGGGCGGGGACGGGGGATGGGGCTTGGGGAAGTGAAGTAGCTGATAGGTTGCAGGTGGCTCCTCTCTATGGCCTTGCCAGAGTGTAAACTGTCCATTTTGCCCAGGCCGAGGGGCATACCAACAGACACTTCAAACAATTCCTGGGATGAACTGTTACCCGGTTTCCCCGAAAATAAGACAGTGCCTTATGTTAATTGTTCCTCCCAAAGATTCACTAGGTCTTATTTTCAGGGGATGTCTTATTTTCCATGAAGAAGAATATGGTACACATTTACTGTTTATTGTTTTATTAAAAGAGACCTCACACTTCCTGTCTGCTCCGGGTGCGCTGCGGCCCACAGTGAGCTGCACAGTGGCACCTGCCACTACGGTCCATAGTCCAGAGTTACAGTAGCTTTGGGGTGGGGTGGGGGGCTTATTTTCAGGGAGGTCTTATTTTGAGGGGGATGCCTTATATTTCAGTGAGAGGCAAAACTGTAAGTCGGTCTTGTTTTGGGGGGATGTCATACTTTTGGGGAAACAGGGTATCATCCTTCCACGATCTTGGGCCATGAAACGTGTCGGTCTGGTCCTGCTTGCCTAAGGAACAAACAGCGTTTTCCCCACAGTTCTTCACTACGCAGGGTCTAAAACCAGAAACATTGGTCCTAAATGTGATCACTCTCAAATGGCTATGCGTACCCAACTACAAGCAAATCTTCAACTTTACTTAGCTAGCAAGGCTGACCATCTTTGTTATCTCGTGTTGCTGTAACAGAGGAGACCTTTTAACTGAAAGGGCAGCCGTTCGAACCCACCAGCCACTCGGAGTGAGAAAGTTGAAACTGTCTGCTCTCATAAGGAGTCACCTCTTCAAAAACTCCCAAGAACAGTTCTACTCTGTCTTCGAGGGTCTCTATGAGTCAGAGTGGACTTGATGACGGTGAACTTGAGTTAAGAATACGTTTTCCATAAGTCTTCCTGAGCCAGAGTTTTTCACCACTTTGGGTGGGCAGTTTGTTTAAAAGACTACTTTAACTTTTAAAAATCCTGTTCTCCTTGTTGCCTGACAATGAATGACTATGAAAGATACATTGAAAAAGAAAAAAAAATTCCCCAAATCATTTTATTAAGACATAATCCATCCAATTATTAAGACATCATAGCAATTCAATTGTTCAGTCATATCAAATAGTGTTGCAAAGTTGCTACCACAATCATTTGCAAAACATTTTCTTCCTTCTTGCACCCCTTGGTATCAGCTCCCCATCACATGCCCCCCCCGCCCCCGTTTCCCTGCTTTACCTCTCAGGAGCTCTTATTCTAGTTATTGTCTCTATAGAGTCACCCAACCTGGGGTGCATATAGTGAAAAATTGGAAAGATACATAACAGTATCAGAACGCTAAAAACAATAACAAAATAAACAGAGATAAGCCAATTTGAAAAACACACACAACAGAACATATTAAGACCAGCTCAAGCTCAAAGTGTATCAAAAGGGAGATCAAATGACAAAATTTTAACCTTTAAAATCAGATTTATCATTTTTATTCC